CGTCATTCACACCTGGTCATGCAAAGCTATATGACGGGATGTTGGGTTTGGTGCCACAGTATACCACCCGATGAACTCCAAGGAGGGAAAGACCTGCTTGTCTGTTGCACGAGGAGTCATTCAGCCAGTCGTAGGGCATTTGGAATTTGACGGGGCGGTACTTACACTGATCTCTCCTGGAGACCAGGAAGTCGTGGTCAACCATATCATCATGGTCTTGGAGTGTGGCAAGCTCAAATGTGTTAACGATCTCGACATCCCGGCCATTCTGTGTACCCAGTAGCGCGCCAAGGACTGCGGAGAGATCAGAGGGCGCTACGAAATAGCTAGTCTACCAGAAAACAAACCAAATGGAGAGTTTGACTCTGTCTGAAGCTTCAATCGCGTCAAGTGTTCCGAGATGTTAAGGATGGGCAACGGATGTCTGACCTCACTATCAGATATATCTTCTCCGAAGAAACGTCGCAAAAGCTTACAGCGAAAGCGAAAGGCCAGACGTTGTGCTAGATGGAAGCACGACAGATAATTCATCGGTATCCATCGAACTCATCGTGGTCGTTGATAACAACTTAAAGGATCAACGAAGCGCTCAAGTCAGCCAACTCGGAGGGGCACAAAAATTAAACAGATAGCAAAATGAATTCCCATTAGCCGACTTGAACGACTGACCTCGTCATTACTAGTGACGCGCTCTACCAACTGAGCTAAACGGGACTGTGAAAAGCGCTCTTTATATATTATTATAGACTGTTTTAGACCTTACGCTCCATACATTATCGTCTTCCCGTACTGCAAACCACAGGCGCCCAGGAAGGAGGGGAAGATAGCCTGCGGTGGTGCCAAGTGTCTGAAGACTTTGAGCCTGAGCCTCTCCGAGAGATCGATCTGGGATTTCGTCGTGACGGGCTGTGACGCCCAGTGACCAGTTTGTTTTCTTTCCCATCTGCAACCTGACTTCAGGTGCAATGATACAGCAACAAAACCCATCTGGGTAACAAGAGGTACTTGTGATGTCCGTGCATTGCGCGCTGTGTTTGATGCTTCGGATGTCGAAAGCGGATCAATTGGATTATCGAAGAATCCGGCATGCGCCAGGGGTCGACTGAGGCAAAGACGGACGAACATCCCACAAAAAATGTCGTCATTTCGTCCGATTAATTGAAGTCGAGGCTGCGAGTGAAGACGATCGAATTTGTAGCGGTGAGCCCTCGGGTCGCCAAAGGGCTGAAGCACTGAACGACCGTAGCACCCATACACGGGAGGGAACTGTGATAACGGAGCTGTTGTTCTGTAGAGTGCAGCTATCAGGCTGGTGGTTTTAGAGGCCTGCCATCTAGCAACTGGATCGCGCTCAGTGAGCGCATTGAGCTCACCTGGATGGTTGAGGCCCACTGAAACACCGCCACCACGTTTGCACGCGCCAATTAGACGCGAAAAGACCTGCCCTAATTCACGATCGCCTCGCGTCTCACTTTAACGCTTGCCCTTCGTCACCGCTCTAATCACGTCCACCATGTCTGGCTTCGACGCAAATCATGTATACACTGTATCGGTGCACGACCAGCCAGCAGCAGCGTCACCAGACTCCCCTTCACAGACAGAAAAGCTTCTTCTGGACTTCTTGTTGCAATATCGCGTTGGTGGTGAATTCATATACAGGTAAGCTCGAAATTCGTTCGCGTGTCCGCTTCAGTCCCGTATATCTCACAATTACTCCAGAGACAAACTTCGGGCGAATCTTCTTTTAAAACAATACGTCCTTGAAGTAGATCTTCGTCATATTGGGCTCTATAACGACGAGCTTGCCCACGCTATACAAGACAGACCAGCCGATATCCTTCCCCTCGTGAGTGCGAGAGAAAACTATGTCCAGGTGTTCTCATTGACCGTGAATTCGCTCAGTTCGAGAATGCTGCAACGAAAGCTTCCCGTACCATCCTTTACCCCCTCGCAGGCGGCTCAGACGAACGCGCAGAAGCAGCCCTTCAATCCATTCCAAAAGTCCAAATAACGATACGAACGGGTCTGAATATGCTACGCTTCCGCGATCTCACTGCAAATACCATGAACAAACTCGTCCGCATACCCGGCATCGTCATATCTGCCTCCGTCCTCTCCTCGCGATCGACGAAACTCCACCTCCAGTGCCGTGCATGCAGGTCTACAAAAATAGTATATCCTGCCGGTGGCTTGGGTGGCCTGGGGAGTGGCTCCGATCGCGGCTTACCCAGGGTATGCGATGCCCCCGAATTGGAAAACCAGAAGAAAGACTGTCCCCTCGACCCGTATCTCATAGTCCATTCCAAGTCAACGTTCGTCGACCAGCAGACGCTGAAATTGCAAGAGGCGCCAGACATGGTACCGGTGGGAGAGCTGCCTAGACATATGCTTCTCTCAGCAGATAGATACTTGACCGGAAAAGTAGTCCCCGGTTCGCGGATAATTGCTACTGGTATATACTCTACGTTTAATTCAGCAAAAAATGTAGGCGCCTTGTGCGGGTCGTATGCCTTCATTGCTGACACCTTTGGCCTTTGTCACAGAAATCCGCTGGGCCTGCAGCACTCCGCCAGCCCTACCTTCGACTGGTTCATATTGAAATGTCATCGCCATCTGCAGGAGGTGGCGGCGCGTCTAATCCTTTTGGCGCGCAGTTCAGCCCGGAAGAGGAGGAAGAGTTCGGGGAGATGGCCCGGAGCGAGGGATTCTACGAACGCTTTGCAAAGAGCGTCGGACCAAGTATTTACGGCAGTCTAGGTTGGTGCTTCGTGATACGCCTCGCATTCCGACGCTGAACAAAAGTCAGATATCAAGAAGGCTATCACATGTCTCCTGTTCGGAGGCTCGAAGAAGGTCCTGCCGGACGGTATGCGACTCAGAGGTGATATCAACGTTTTGCTTTTGGGTGACCCCGGTACTGCGAAGAGTCAACTTCTGAAGTTCGTGGAGAAGGTGAGAAAATAGCCCCGTCCTTCGGATGGCTACTGACGTTGCGCAGGTGGCACCCATCGCAGTATACACGTCCGGAAAGGGTTCGAGTGCAGCTGGTCTAACAGCCTCTGTTCAACGCGATTCTGTCTCTGTAAGTCCCTGTCTTTCTCTTTCGAGATATCACTCACCCGATCGAGCACAGCGCGAGTTTTATCTGGAAGGCGGCGCCATGGTTCTCGCTGATACTGGCGTTGTCTGCATCGACGAGTTTGATAAGATGCGGGACGAGGATCGGGTAGCAATCCACGAAGCGATGGAGCAACAGACGATATCTATTGCCAAAGCAGGGATAACAACGGTGCTCAACTCGAGGACTAGCGTACTTGCTGCTGCGAATCCAGTGTGGGGTCGGTACGATGAAGGACGAAGTCCAGGCGAGGTAAGGTACCTTACTATGAGGGTGGGGGAGTGACTGACTTTCAGTACGTCTAGAATATCGATTTCCAAACTACCATTCTCTCCCGTTTCGACATGATATTCATCGTCAAGGACGAGCACAATGAACAGCGCGACAGAGTGCGTGCTCTAGAAGTGTACCTTTTAATTGCTATCCTGACCCTCTTCTAGATGATCGCAAAGCACGTCATGAACATTCACATGAACCGTCCCAACCAAAATGCCGACGAGAACGGCGAGGTTGTGGGCGAGATAGACATTGACAAAATGAAACGGTTCATTGCGTACTGCAAGAGGTCCGCTTGGTTTATCTCAGGCATGCGGAATATGTGCTGATCGGATCTTACACGCAGTAAATGCGCACCGAGGCTGTCGCCGGAGTCGCAAGAGATGTTGAGTAGTCATTTCGTCAGCTTGCGAAAGCAGGTGCAGCAGGTAGAGCGAGACAACGATGAAAGAAGTTCAATCCCCATCACCGTTCGGTCGGTCATACCATGCTTTATTCCACTGCAATTCCGCTGACCCGAATACCAGACAACTCGAGGCCATTATCCGCATATCCGAGTCCCTCGCTAAGATTACGCTCTCTCCTGTTGTCCAGAACCATCATGTCGAAGAGGCCATCCGACTATTCAAGTTCTCCACGATGGACGCTGTATCTGCAGGCTCCGCCGACGGCCTTTCACGTGGAGAGCTCAACGACGAGATGACTCGGATAGAGAAGGAGCTTCGGCGGCGACTGCCTGTTGGATGGAGTACGAGCTACCAGAGTCTTGTACGGGAGTTCGTGACACAGCAGGGCTACTCAAGTCACGCGCTGGAGCGGACACTATTCATCATGGAGAAGAGAGAGGTTGTACGATTTTCTGGCCAGGTAAGTGGTGACTGAGCTTCAGCTGGGGGTTGTACTGACCACCACGCTCTCCGATAGAAAAAAGTTGTGCATAGGTGAGCTTCCCTGCTGCCACAGTCCAGTCGCATACTAACGGTCACATAGGGTCGGCGTTTGATAGAGTTGTGCCATGCTTGTCAATCTTGCTTTGAGGATTGTATTTTGAATATCACTTGTAGCAGACTATCATTTGTAACCAGCTTCGTTGATTTGTTTTTTGGTGCAAGGCAGCGCCATAATGACTACAATCCTGTAATCCCCATCGCCCGCCTAGCTCAATCGGATAGAGCGTCAGACTCTTATGACTAGGCGATCTGAAGGCTGCGAGTTCGACCCTCGCGGTGGGCTATCAGTTTTTCATCCGTTGTTTTGTTTTTTCAGAGCTGCCCAGATCACGAAAGGGTATCTAACAATGGTCCACGAGATGTTACTGGAGGGCATATGTTCTTTCGGATGGCTAGCAGATGTGGCTCAAGCAGATTTGATACCATGGGGAGGCGGAAGGAAATGAGCCTGAGTGCACGTGCAAGATTCATCTATCAGCACTCCACTGGCTTAAGCTTCCCGCTCGAGCTACCGCAGCTAGTCTGCACAGCACTCCCAACGTACGCTTACGGCCTTCGAGTCCGATAGATGGGTAATTGTATTGGACTCGGAGAAATCTTGGGCCTTTGTGACTTGTGGAACAGACGTCGAACGAAAAAAAAGTATCAAAACGATTAGCCCACCGCGAGGGTCGAACTCGCAGCCTTCAGATCACCGCCGTTGCTTGGATCGCACAAACGTAAAAGTCTGACGCTCTATCCGATTGAGCTAGGCGGGCGGTGTCAATGTTGTATTGCTAGATTATATGATTGGATTTGACCCTGGAAGGTCTCATCTCTTCCTTAGCCAATGCAAGAATGAGGATGAGCGAGCCTGCGAGGACAGAAGCGGAGGCTTAGCAGCGATTAAGCCTCTCTGACGTTACATGTTCGGAGGGTTACGGGGCGAGGGGCCGTCGCGGAAAGACTACGGTGAGGTCGCTGGCGTTCATCTATATGTTCGTTTTCCGAGCGGGGGGGATAAAGATTGGGCAGAACACCAGCCTGGGGCCGTCAAAGGCGGTATAACTTTTACTGTTGGCGTAGATGCAAGGAGGTGCGCTCTGCGGAAGTTGAAGGAGGGTTCCCTGCAGGTGTCCTCGTGCAAGTTGGAAGTGCTGGAAGCGAGCCAAAGGGTGGCCTTGAATCTTGGGATCAATCATAATAAGAACTTGCAATTAGTTTGTAACCTATTCATTTATTTATATAAGTTCGACTACGCGTCATGTGACCATGTTTGCCTTGTCACGCGCTCAGTCGCGGGTTGGACCGCCGCGTCGAGTTGTCGATCACAGACTCGGTCATCTCAAAGGCCAAGGACTCAGATTGCCACAAATCCGCACATCTTTCCGCTTGAGGCCGCCCAAACGATTCTCAGTCGTAGCGAGCTATGAGGAATAAGGTCCTTGCGGAGGATGTTGTCCCAGACAGCGAGGATGAGAGAGAGTGGTACGTGTTTCTCGTACTATAGACATGCAGTGGGGTCGAACATCATCACAGGGACAGGGCTGCGGGCAGAAAGGGTGGCAAAGCCTCAGCGATGGAAGTCATAGAAATATTCTCTTCTGACGAGGAAGAGTAAGTACATCAGCTCTGCCTTCAGCTTACGGAGCAGCAATGTCTCCTCGGTTCCTTCACGTCGACTAACGCGCTCGTCGGTCTGATTAGAGGTGCGCCACCCCCAACCGAAAGCCGTGCATCCACGACGTGCGCATGCACCATCGTCTCTTTCCTACACTCTTGACTAACGCTGAGACATAGCAGTCATCTGGGAGACGGCCACGCCGCGAATGATAACTCTAATGATCGCTATAACTCGAAGGCTCCCACTAGAGGATCCACCGTTAGCAAAACCAGCTCACTTCGCCAAATTGAAATCATCGAAATAACAGATAGCAGTGACAGCTCTTGCGAACTCCCTGATCAACTATCCAAATTGGCCCGGACGCCTGTTAAGTCGAAACCTAATCACAAAAAGTCTATTTTCCGACCGCCTACGCGGCAATTCGCTCCACTATACGCAGATGATGATGAATTTGATCCCTGGGACGATCAAAACGACGGCGCTATTCTAACTTTGTGGGTAACTTATGGGGTCTTGTGTGCTTCGGCTCAATGGCTACTTAGAAACGACCCGCGGAGTGCTCGCAAGCCCATACGTAGGAGCCCTGAGTCCCGTTTCCACTCTCGCGGCTCGTCTCCCACCAAATCATCGACGTCTACTTTGGTCATCGAAAAGACAGGCTCAGACTCCGACAGCGATGCGAGCAATGCTGCTCCCGTTCCTCCAACGCCACGCCGTGGCCCTGCAGCGTCCTTGAACAAATCCCCGGTCAAAACACCACGCATCACGAAGAAAGCACAGGCCGCTGCAGAACAAGCGCGTCGCGAGAAATATGCCAGCGAGCCATTTGTTGAGCTCAACCGGACAGTTTTCAATGGCGGCTTACCGAAAGAAACCAAGTTAAATTGGAGCAAACGCCTCCTAACAACAGCGGGAAAAGCGAGATGGCATCGGCGAGTTTAATATCACCCGTATTCCAAGCGTGCATTGACTTGGTAAACAATAGTTCCAGAGACGGTGTTGATACCACTGAGATTGAACTAGCCACCAAGATTCTCGACTGTGACGGTACGATATCCCCTCTCCCCCTATCTGCTAGTACCAGAGACTCTCATCTGCAACACCTCAGAGCGGATTCGAAACACCCTTTCTCATGAAATGTGCCACTTGGCGTGTTGGATAATTAACAACGACCCGAAAGAAGGCCACGGAAGAGCTTTCAAGACATGGTTCGCACTTCACGCCGTTCTGCAAGTGCAAAAAACTACTCACTGAGCCAACATCAGGGCAGCCAGAGTGACGCGAAAGCGTCCAGAAATCGAAATCTCGGTCAGTCCCTGTGAAGCACCAACTACAGTACGCTGACGCTTTCTAGACAAGGCACAATTATGAGATATCATATCCATATGAATGGAGTATGTATCATGGTTGTATTTCTGTTGTGCCAGTCTAACCGTCCTGAATGCAAGAATGCGAACAGTGCTCCAAGATGTGAGTAGCCATTCACTTGCATCATCATGACCTATTCCTGAGTGCCCCTTCTTTAGATACGGCCGGTATAGCAAATCCATTCGCCCAGATGAATGTGGTGAGTCCAACCCCTCGACTGTTTATCCAATGTTGAAAGTGCCTTTCGCGATAGTTTGCGGTGCCTGTAAAGTAGGAAAACTAATACCACTCTTCACCCAAAGAGCTCCAAGAACCCCGAAAGTCAGCAGAAATGCGATTAGTTCCCCGCAAGGTGCGTCTCCTGTCACTGGTCAACCACCCTAGTAATTCATAATCCAAGGTTCCCCGCATGCTACCCCTACTGTGTCCGGCCGCGGGTCTATCGCGATGCCGGGATCTCTGTACGACATCTCGTCCGGGTCTGAAGATGATGTTGCGAGTTTAGTGACCGCCATTGGTGGTGTGATGATCGGTGATGGTACCCTTTGATTGCCCCGCATACCATGTCGCACTAGGTGCTCCTGAATATTTGCGGGTAACTCAACTGGCCTGCGCGCGTTGCTGGCATGAGGGGTGGAAAGGGTTGCGGGGGATTATGCAATAGTCTTCTATGTAGAGTCAATGGGACACTGGTACCTGGAGGTGGGTCGCTAAGTTGCGTCCAGCATCGTTCAAACGAGATTCGAAACCTTTCGAGTATGATGAATTTTGACTAATAAGGAGGTGCTAAAATTGTGCTAAAGATACAATGAGCCATCAGGTGTGATACAATACAACCTTCGTGATTAAGAACGAGCCACAAGCGCGATAAATCCAACTAAATATCACCCTCCATACTATCTACACAACATATCGCCCTACCTTCACAGGCAATCTAGCACCATACTCGAACTGGTCGTATACGTACGGTCGCGTCAAGATGGCATTGAACTTTTGAATGTCGGCGGCAGGTTCGAAGACAAAGTGTGGGAGGAGAGTTGCGAGGAAAACCTTGGTTTCTAGGATAGAGATCTTCCAACCGGGGCACGAGTGCGGTCCAAAGGAGAACGTCATAAGGTTGGCGATGCCCGGGTGTGATGGCGCACGCGCTTGAAGGGGGAGGGATGCCCAGCGGTCAGGTCTGTTAACGAGGATCATCAGGATCCCCTCAGGAAAAAAGGAGGAAGACACATACTTAAAGGTCCTGGCATCGTCTCCCCAAATGTCGGTGCTGAAGTTGAGTGCCTCAATGGGAACGTGGACATAGGAACCCTTGCGAATCGGGATCGTCTCGCCTGCACGGACGACAGTGCCGTTGCGCAAAAGGATAGGTGAGGAAATAGGAATAGCGTCATCGCGAGTCGCTACGCGTATCGTGCCATGCACCGGGGGACAGAGGCGAAGTGTTTCTCGGACCACTGCATCAAGGAAAGGCAGGACATCGATCGCGTCCGCGTGTGCATATGGCGAGTGCACAGATGAAGCGTTGAGCGGTGAATTAGACGAACACGACGAAAGCGAAAGTATTTCGTCTCGCAGACGCGTTTGAACATCGGGGTGGAGGGAGAGCAGGTGAACACACCACGAGATGGCCAGGGAAGTGGAGTCGGAGCCCGCGAAAAGGAAAGTGGAAAGCTGGTCGAGAAGGTCGGCATCAGACAACCGCTTCGAAGGATCGGACGAAAGATTGGATTTGACTGCAAAGTAAAATGAGCCATCCCATCATAGCAGAGGAGTGTTCTCCTTACTGAGTAAACTGAGGATGTCTTTCTCCTTGATTTCTTTGGCGCTTGCCTTCTCGGCGAGGATCGCGGATTTCTTGCTTTGTACAAGTTGTTTCCCAGCTTCGTAGATAACTCGCAGACTTTCGTCTGTGGTCCGAGAACCTTCATCTGGCTAAAATGGCGGTACGAAACTAAGCCCATGTTTGGCATGGAACGACAGGGATACTCACGAAAAGCTTGTCGATGATCGGGAAGTACAGTTTAAGAAGCCCCTTCAAGCCAGGACCTTTATCCGCGACGTTGAACATTTTCCGATAGGCTAGATAAACCTCTTCCGACTCGTCTTGAAGGGAATGGAAGTGGTAGTCAAAGCCCGCGAGTCCGATGACATCGAACGTCGCGCGTGAGATCCAATGAGAGATGTCAATAACAGTCTCAGCCAACGAGTGGGGTGGTGAATAAGGCGGAGGAGGGAGTGGGGGGAACGCGGGTGAGTCGGAAGGTGTCGGGTGAGATATCATAGTGTCCCAGCGATCACGAAGCTCTTCAGCCTTCTGGAAGAAGATCGGAGTCATCGCTTTCACAGCTTGTACGGAGAAAGCGGGCATTATCAGCTTTCGCTGCGAAATTCCAGGTTAAGTGAGTTGAGATGGGCATAAAGGCAATTAACTGTACCAATGTCTTGTGCTCCTCGCCTTCCATCGCAAAAACACCTATGAAAGTCATACAATCAGGGAAACGAAGATTAAGCACCAAATGAAACCGACCTCGACCCAATAGTCGGGAAAGGAGTGTTCTCGTTTGCCAGGGCTTTTCATAGACGGGTGAATTCAGAATATGGGAAATGACGCGAAAATCCAAAGACATGAGACGATAGTCGTGCTACATCATCATGTCGCGATCAGCCTCGCATAATGACACGGACATGCAAGCTAGACACGCACTTTTCCAAAACCATTGAATCGAAAAGTCTTACCGTATGCTTTACTCCAGTTTTCGTGTGTATCTGGAGATATGCTAGGGC